AGCATGTAAAAACTCTTCTCCAACTCGCAATGAAAAAGAAGTTGAAGCTTGACTCTTCTCTCCTCAACAAAATCATAGTCACAGTGATTTCAGACTACCCGGAGTTCTATGCGGATTGGTCAGACGATGATACAAGTGATCTTTTGATGTTGGCCTCAGAAGCGAGTGATGATGTTAGCCCTGCGTCCATTCCTGAGCCTGAAGATGGAAACCGTGATGGGGCTTTCCTCCAATATTTTACCCAAAGGGCTCTAGAATCCGAAGAAGTCTCGCGTCGACGGGCAGTAGCTCAACCTATCTATCTTTAAGCTGCACATAACGAAGCCAAACATCGTCTTGAGATTCTTTGTAACAGGTCTAATACTTCTGAAACTCCTATTGAGATTTCTCATGATAAGCCTGATGATTTAATTTCTGATGATATTGAGTCTGCTCTGCCCATTGCACAATCTGATAATGAGAATGCTTTACTGTCTACGAAATCCTCTGTGTCTGATGATCCTCATAGTTTATTTTCTGAAAAAATTGAGTCTACAAAAGTTTCCCTTGACAGTGAGTCTGAAGAAGAAGTTCAACAATCTTATAAGGTAGAAAATTTGAGTCTGGTTGTTTACTATGCTGATATTGCGCGATCTGCAATTTCTGTTGTGCCTGTATCTGATGCTGCTAAGTCACCGATTGAAGTTTGCCCGGTTGATGTTTCTCCTAAGTTGTCTATTGAACTTGAAGCTGTCAAACCTACAAGCCCTCGTCCCTCTGATTCGATTGATGGAGTTCCAGTTTATACATCCTCTACCTTGGCTGAAAGTCTTGACCACATCCGACATTTTGCGGGTTTACCCTCTACCTCTGTACCTGAACCATATAGAGTTATCCACCCTGATGATCTCTCTATGCAGATAGACAGTGATGATGAGAAAATCCTAGCTGAGGTTTATGATCCACAAGCCCCATTGTCTGGTTCCCCTAGATCCCTCACAGTGGAAAAGACAGCACATCCAGACTCCACCACATTCAAGATTAAGGAAGTTTCCAAGCTACTTGCATCTTCATCTGCCCCAGTGTCTGAGACAAGTAATTCGGTTTCTCCAAGTCCTACTGATCATTCTCCTGCTAGAGAGACAAGGAAATCTAAGCGCAAAGGCACTCCAGAAAAAGTGTCTGTGGAAACTGGTGATGACAATCTTGATTCTGTTCAACCAGAGAAGAGACGAAGATCAGCTGAGTCGGTTAAGGCTGAAAGTGACCCACATGTCCAATAGGTGTTTAAAACCCTGAGATCATCAGTCAAGAATAAGGCCCCTGCGACTGTTTCCACCACTGCTCCCAGAAAAATGAAAGCTTCTACAAGGTCAAGAGCAAGGAGTGTCACTCCTGATGTTCAAGCTGCTTCTAACAGTCCTGACACCACTATTTACAAGCACAGTTTGTTTTTGCTACAGCTCAAGACAAATGGTCGACTATGGTGCGACGTGAACTCATTGTTCAGCGATCAGTTGATGAGAATCAGTTAAATTCTGTTTGTGATGTTTTACCCTTGCTGAGTGAGGTTGGCCTCATGAAGACTGTAACCTCAATTTGCCCCTACTTGAAGCTGCTGACCTACGAGTTTTACTGTAATCTGAATGAAGAAATTGACAACCTTACGGGGACCCGGTGCATGCAGATTTTCATCAGAGGAAAGTGGTATGTTTTCGGTCCAGACATGATTAATGACTACTATGGCTTGAAGGCTGTTGATGAAGAAGAGATTACGGACTGGGATTTAGTTGCACGCACTCTCACTGGTGGTCAGTCTCCAGTATGGCCTACAGGTGATCCTGACACCTTGTCAAGCTCGGTGGTCACCTCTAAGTATGTTATCCTACACCGTATTGCGCTGCACAATTGGCTTCCATCTGCACACTTTCATACTGTAGGCAAGCAACTGGCTGCGCTTCTATTCAGAATCGGCACCAAGATGAGCATTGATCTGGGAAAATGGATATTCTATCATATCTCACCCTCATTCATCCAAGGAAACAGAAGGTAAGACTGCCTTATCCAAATCTCATTTATGGCATTCTGACGTCGCAAGGCCTGGTACCTATGCCAAGCGAGATTATCACTCCATCTCTGCTCTATATTGTTGATCCGCGTCTATTGATCGGCAAGCATATCCGGGATGTTACACCAGTTCTTGCTCCATCATCATCTGAAGCTTGTCCTAATGTTGACGACTCGCCACATGCTAGAGATGTGCAGCTATCCCTCCGTCTGAAGGCTCGTGTGTCTGAGCTTGAAACCGTGAATGGCATTATCACGAATCAGCTGAATGCAGCCCGTACTGAACTTGCCACTGCTCTGCTTCGTCTGAGCTTGACTGAGTCTGCTGCTGCTGAGAATGTGAAGTCTGATAGTGAAGGTCCGAATGCTTAAATGTTCATTTGTCTATCTTTGGCAAAAAGGGGGAGTGCCTAAACTCAAGGGGAGTTTTTTTTTTTTTTTTTTTTTTTGTGTTAACTGTTCGTATCTTCTGGCCCTGTCTGGGCGTGTGTTTGTGATGGCCCCATGCTTTGTGAAGAATGTTACTTGTTTTTGTCCAGCACGACTTGTGTGCTGTGTTATTTCTATTATGGGTTGTAATTCAGACTTATGTCCTTTATGCGACAGTTATCTTCCTTTTTATCCCTAGTTTATTGGTTTATCTTAGTCGAGTTGTTTTACCAAATAATAGCCAATGGGGGAGTTTGTTAGTGTTTTAATTTTCTCCAAAAAAAAACCCCAACATATAATTGGCAATATTATTATGGCAAACTAAGATAGGGTTTAGCTTGGTGTCTGTTTGTTATTACAGAAGACTGATTGATCAGGTTCATCAACAGACGCAATGACACTGAAGATCTGATAAAGGAAGATGTTTCCAAAATGCTGAACGCGTTTTGAGAAAACAGTTTTGGAAAGATAATCAGCAGATCTGTTTTGGAAGGTATGGACCGAATCTTTAAGATTACATTCTTCACAATATGTCCTACCATCTACAATCAAAGATATTTTTGGAGAGTGTTCTTACCAAGGAAGTATAAGTATCCTTATTCGGTCAAGAATTAGGGTTACGGTTTTAAGAAGAAGAAAACACTCCATGCTACACAGAGAATCATATCTTTGATTATCATGCCTCTTCTCAAGAATATAAGTTCTTGGTAATTATGATGAAGAACTTGAGAAGAACTATCGTTGCTTAAATGAAAGGACGCGAAGATCACTCAGTTGTGGGCACAACGTGGGACTGCGTCATTGAAGCGGACTGCATCAGAGTTAGCTCTCCAATTGAAGGGATTTCATTGGACTTCTGCACGCGTGGCTCTCTGCCTTCAACAATCCACTAAACCTTTGTAGACTGGGTACATACCTTGTGTGGGGCACTTGGGTGAGATAGTTGTTTCTCTACCTTTGTACATTGGATTATGAGTTAGTGGATTGGACGCCTTGGTGATCGTCCCCCAGATGTAGATACACACTGTATCGAATTGGGTAAACATCGTATGTGTTGTTTTATTATCTGCTCTATGTTTTCCTCTACAAACATCTCTACAATCTAACTAACTGACGAACAATTCACGTTTCCGATTCAGTCAGTCCAATCCATCAGTTGATTATCTCTAATAATAATCTTAAAATGAGAAAATGCAAAATTACATGGCCAAAATCACACTTTGAAAGTTTCGCATAAAGTTGATGTTGGCAGAGCGTTTCCAAAACAACGGTGAGATGGTGAATATGGTCAAAAAGAGAACGACTGTAAACCAGAATATCATCTATAAAGACTAACACAAACTTTCGTAGATATGGGTGGAAGACCGAATTCATAGTTTCTTGGAAGGTAGCTGGTGCGTTAGTAAGGCCGAAAGGCATCACAAGGAATTCATAGTGACCCTCGTGAGTTCTGAACGCAGTCTTTGGAATGTCCGGGGGATGAACTCGGATTTGGAAATACCCACTACGCAAATACAACTTGGAAAATATGACCGCACCATGCAGTTCATCGAGCAACTCATCTACCGTTGGCATAGGAAACCGGTCTTTGACAGTGATAGCGTTGAGAGCTCGATAGTCCACGCAGAATCTCTAGGACCCATCCTTCTTTCGGACTAACAAGACTGGTGACGAAAAATGACTGGTAGAGGGTTGAATGATATGATCTCGTAGCATTTCCTGGACAAGTCTCTCAATTTCATTTTTCTGAAAATGAGGGTAGCGGTATGGCTTGACGTTCACCGGAGCCGCTTGAGGTAAAAGGGTAATTTTGAGGTTTAGCACTCGGCTCGGAGGAAGGCCGTTTGGGACGCTAAAAACATCCGGAAACTGGTTGAGGAGTTCTTGTATAGTGGGGTGAGGGTGGTCGAGAGGATCTGTGGGAGGACAAGTGGGTATTAGATTTAACAAGTAGCAGTGGGCTATAGCGTTGGTTTGGCGAAGGCGTGTCAATTGGTGGCTGGAGATTGGCACAGCATTAGGTGTTGAAAGTCCTACCAGTTTAATAGGCTTCCAGGCGTATTCAAATTCCATCATTAGGTTTTTGTGGTCTGTTACCACCTTGCCCAGACCTTCTAGCCATTGGACACCCAAAATGGCATCAGCTCCAGAAAACTCCAATATATGGAAGTTTGCGACAAAGTCTCCTCCTTGCATACGAAATTGCACATTCCAGCATATACCGTCACTATGGAGTTTTTCGCCATTGCCCACTGCGACAGAGAAGCAAGTGGTTTCATCAATGGGTAAGTGAAGGAACCGTGCAATCCTTGGTTGGAGGTAATTATTATGCGAGCTCCCTGTATCAACAAGGACGCTGAAGGACTCAAGTTGACATTTGTGAGAACTCTTATAACATGGGAAGCCATGAGTATTATTAGTATGCTGCCCAAACTGGAGGTACTTAAGCTCAAAAACTTTGCGTGTGTGGGAAAAGAGTGGGAACTAATTGGAGAAGGTGACTTCCCAAAGTTAAAAGTCTTGCTCATTTCTCGAACGCTTACTCTTAAGAAATTGCTTTGAGTTGAAAGAGATGCCAGAGTGGATTGGAGATATCATCACACTCCAGTTAATTCAGTTGGAGTATTGCTGCGCTTCCCTTGTGGGTTCTGCTTAGAGGATTAAAAAAGAGCAACATGACAACTACGGATATGATATAGAAGTTAAAGACTCCAATACTCAACGAGGTTTGTATAATTAATCTCAACTAACGTCTTAATTTTTTATCTTAATTAAACTCCAATTAGTTTCGATAATTAATTTTTATGATTAAATACTAGATGAGGACCATGCTAAAGAAGAAGATTGTTCCAACGAACAGACCTGTGAAGTTGAAAGCGTCTGCCATGGTTTGACAGTAAGTTAGCTCTTCTGATCTCTGTGTATCCATTGAATAAATGTATCTCATATCATAGTTGTTAATTAGCAGTATTTGCTACAGCACACTTTAAAGCTTTATATGTTATGAAGTTTTAATTATGTGGCCATTATTTAGTAGTGGTTTGTTATTCTTGGTTTGTAGGAGAATATATATTTGTATTATATTAAACAATGATGGGATGAATATTTAATTTTTGAAAGTCATGGATCAATATTGTTAGTGCCACAATACCCGTGGGACTAAAAGTGAACAAATCTTTTAATTATCTTACACAATATATTTTGTGCAGAGCCTTTGGTTTGAAGCAAGGAAGCTAAGGATCAGCTGGGGTCATAATCCTACGTATTGGATTTGGACTTCTGACTTGGGCACCGAGTATGGAATGTAATTTTAATTAACTATAATATTATGGAAGGATTGCATGTATTGTTCAATTTCTCTATTATATATATGTATGTATGTATTGTATAATGTAACTTTGGTTAATTGTGTATAGGCATGAGGTTGCGAAGCTAGAGAAAGTTAGCGCATTCGATATCGGATTATCGTTTGACATTCGGTACTTATATAAGATGAGTTGTTATTTTGCGTATCTTGTGTTCAAGCTTGAAGAGAGTGGAACCTTTCAAGATGTTTATACAGCATTGGCAGCTGTGAGATATGAGAAGGACAACGCCAGATACGGCTGGATGCACAAACAAAATTGGCACACTAATACATATGTATATCCGGAGAAGATGGAAAGTGTAAGAGTGGAGGGAGGAAATCATAATATTATTACGGCATGGAAACTAATCTCTATATTAGTGTAAGAGTGGAGGGAACAAAATTGGCACACGAATTCGTTCTCTCTCTCTCTATATATATATATATATATATATATATAACATAATAATAATAATAATAATAATAATAATAATAATTAGCTCTGATCTTTTGATCAAATAAATGACTATTAAATATTAATAAGTACAATAACTTATATTTCTCATCCAATTATATATGATGTCTCTGGGTCTCCTTCAATTTTTGTTCTTCGATTCCTCCTCCATCCTATATATGCTTGAATTTTGAGGCAATTTATATATACATATCATACTCTCAGGTCTCTCTAGCAAAGACAAAGTCTTATGAAGATTGCGGTTAGTTTCCCAATAGTCGTTCTGATGGGTGGATGGAAATCAAGCTCGGAAACTTTCATGTGTGTAATGGGAATGAGGGTGACATTCAATTACGACTGTGGCATACATCAAATCAAAAGTGGAAGACTGGTTTTGTTGTTAGGGGCATTGAAATTCGACCAGTAAACTAAGGATTGTTTTTTGCATTTCTATTTCGGTTTATTGTTAGTTTGTCTATGTCTGTTGTAATACTTGTGTGGATGCTCTAAGTGGCCAGGATGTATGTTTACAATTTTTAAAAGCTTGCATGTTACTCTAAGTGGCTCATGTCCTGGCTAAGAAAGCTTTATGTTATGAGGGGGAGGGGAGGATTGACTGATGCGATTCCTCCTGTTTTCCTTTCTGCTTTTATGTGTAATTCTGTTATGGTGATTTATTTAATATAAGGCTGTGTTTGGAAACTCGGAAAATGACTTCTGGAAGTCATTTTCTGAGTTTTTGGTGTTTGGCTACACCTAGAAAATCCAGTCAACGGAATCCATTTTCCGTTGACTAGGGAAAATGAGCCCAATTTGGCGGAAAATGACTTCCGCCAAATTTGGGCGGAAGTCGTTTTCCGCCTTTCTCTTTCAATTTTTTTTTTTCTTTAAATCTGGCGGAACTGTTCCGCCAGAAACCAGAGCTATGGTTTCCGGCGGAACTGGTTTCCGCCAGAAACCATACCTTATGGTTTCTGGCGGAAACCATGGCTATGGTTTCCGGCGGAACTGGGTTCCGCCGGAAATCAAAATTTTGTTTTTTTTTGTTTTTTTTGTTTTTTTTTTTTTTAAAGATTTAAAATGAATTTTTAATTTAAAATAAAATAATTAAAATATTTAATAATACCATTCTACTCATTTTCCATAAAATGTACCAAACACACCAAAACAGTTTTCCAAATGTAACCAAACACTGGAAACGGAAAATGTTTTCCGGAAAATGACTCATTTTCCAGAAATCATTTTCCAGAAGTCATTTTCCTGCTTTCCAAACGGACCCTAAGTGAAGTTCTTGGTTTTCAATAAAAAGCTTGTTGACTTTGAATAGGTATAGATGTGAGTGTTGAATTTGTCTCATATAAGGAATATGAGTTTGTCTCATATAAGAAATGCTTATAAATACATTTGTTATATTTCTTGGTGTAGATTACCATTACAATTAATAAAATAATAGTTACACTCATGTGGATTGTCGAACAACATAAATCTTGTTTTCATTACTATATGTCATTACTATTGTTGCTTGTTCTTGTTAACCTTAGCAAATTGGCATCAAATCACTATTGAGATGACCAGTAAGTGTGAAATTCGAGGAGTCAAAATTTGATGGTATATGAAATTTTAGGTTATGGCAGTGTAGGGTTAAAGATTGGTTGGCATAGCAAGGTCTTCTAAATACCTTGAAAGAAGAAAAATTAGACCAACTAATCTAGGAAAGGCTGATTGGGCGATTTGAAGTAAAGAAATTTGGGATAAATTAGAGATTTAATTAGTTATTCATTGAAAAATCTTTGACACATAAATTGTATGTAAAGAAAAGACTTATGGGTCGGGCTGTCAAAGTGGACCGAAGCCCGCAAGTTAAGGCTTCAACAAAAATGGCCCGCGAAAGAGCGTGCCTAACGGGCCTGGCCTGCTAAGACTCGCGGCCCGTGCAGGTTAGCCATCGCAGGCTGCGGGCCAGGCTACATTTAACTTATATTCCTCATCCAATTATATATGATGTCTTTGGGTCTCCTTTAATTTTTATTCTTCGATTCCTCCTCCATCCTATATATGCTTGAATTCTGAGGCAAAGTATATATACATATCATACTCTCAGGTCTCCCTAGCAAAGACAAAGTCTTGTGGAGATTGCAGTCAGTTTCCCCGTAGTCGTTCTAATGGGTGGATGGAAATCAAGCTCGGAGACTTTTACGTTTGTAATGGTAATGATGGTGAGATTCAATTACGACTGTGGCATACATCAAATCAGATGTGGAAGTCTGGTTTTGTTGTTAGGGGCGTTGAAATTCAACCAGCAAACTAAGGATTGCTTTTTTCATTTTTATTTCGGTTTGTTTTAGTCTATGTGTGTTGTAATATATACTTGTGTTGATGCTCTAATTGGCTGGGATGTATTTTTACAATTGATGAAATGAATTCCAGAAGTTGGGTCAGGAGATCGAGTTAATCAATTTTTTGACTGCTGCCAAATCATAGATGAACATAAAATGGGATTTGTCAGTGAAAGTAGATTTTAGTGGTGATGTTTTAGTGAGTGTCGTCCTCTAGGAATGGCTATAAGGGAATTGAGTGGAGAGGGGTTAAACACAAGATTATTAAGTGTTTGAAAGCTAACAAAAATGGAATATTCGTTTGCATAGAGACAATTTTAAAACAACTAAATGATTAAGTAGTGGACAACGATAAAAGAGAGGACTTGGATTAAATAGCATTGTACAAATGCTTCTTAGTGTTCTAAATTCTAAGGCAAACAAAGATCAATAATGAAAGTGAAGGCGTTTAGCAAGTGCCAATGTCATTCTCATGGTCATTGGGCTATCACCTAAGTTCTAATTCCATTCTCATGGCAAATAGACTAGATGAGGCAATTAATCAAATATCTTGTGTGCTCTATCGCTTCCAACTCCCCTTTCTCAAGAGTGAGTTAGAATTGTGATAGGTTTGGCTATGGTGAATCCCTATTCTCATAGGTGAAGCACCAAATCTAAAATCTCCTTACAAAGTTGGGCCCTAACCAAGCATGAGTCAAAACATTTTACCAAATTCACAATCAAATTCAATCTAAAGATATTGCATGCCCTAGGTTTTCCAATTTAATTCATGTTGACATTCATACAAAGCAATTCAATCTAAATCCCTAACTAGTTTAACTACTCATAATGAAATTTATAAACTAAAAGCAATTAAAGAAATGAACAATAAATTCAAACTACAAATTATGTGAAATGTAAAAGTAAGAAATTGAGAACTTAACTTGATAGAACTTGTAGAATGTAAATCTGAAACTAAAAGTGAAAGTCGCAATTACATACGTTAATCTCCCTCTAAATCTTCTCCAAAAGATGATGGAATACAATGGATTTTTTTTTTCTAAAGGGTTTGGATGGAGAGAAGATGTAGAGGGGGATTGGAAATTGAATCATAGATGAAAATAATGCCTAAAGATACCTTATACTTTTGGAATCGCGTCCTTTTAACAGCTTCTAGAATGTCGGGTCACGATGGAGGTCATGGCGTGAACTTCATCGTGACTAGGCTTAAGCCTCGTAGGTCTCTGCTGGTCACGGTCAACGTCACACCGTGACCGCCACAGTGACCAGCATCTCTGGTTTCTAGACCATTGTCACATTGTAAACGTTCGAACTAGCCTTTGTAGTTTTCATGAAAGTTGTAGCTCTCTGAGTTTCCTTTCTAATGCCACTTGAATCACGCTATTTGGACACTCCTAACTTGAGATATGCTCAAATTACCAAGACTTCGACTGACAGAAAAAAGTACAAAGCAGAATGGTGTCACGCTGACAATCACGGCGTGACCACCAGCATGACCCATGTTTTTAACTTCAAAATGCATATTTCTTCATCTCCTTTGTTCTTTTGGGTCCTCGAGTCATGTCATAATACTTTTACTTGCTTTATTTCATTTTCTTGACCTCTAATGACTCCCGAAACTTGCCTTTCTGTCAAGATGACTTCAAAACACAACCAATTGAGCTCCAATTTACATGAAGTTACAACCAATGCCTCCAAATAACCTAAATGACACAAAGGAATCAAATATTCACATACTTATCAAGCTTGTTGGCCCTACAACATTACTAAGAACCTATGAGTGTGTTCGATGGTATGATGAAGCATTGTTTACTAATGATCCCTCGTTGAGACAGACCTATGTGAACAAGAATACGGTTGCTAAACCAGTACATACCCAAAAAACTAGGAGTAGTGGCCACTGATCTTAACAAACTCTCTAATAATAATAATAATAATAATAATAATAATAATAATAATAATAATAATAATAGTAATAATTATAGTAATAATAGTAGTAATAATAGTAGTAGTAATAATAACAATAATAACAATAATAATAATAATAATAATAATAATAATAATAATAATAATAATAATAATAATAATAATAATAATAATAATAGAAGAGTAAATCCTAGAAATATGGAGATGAACAGACTCCGGGATCAGGGTTTACACTTCCATTGCAGAGAGAAAGATGGCAACCGAGCCAGAAATGTAGAGAAAGAGCTCTTAATTGTATAAATGGAGTCTCGGATGTGAATGAATTGGAAGAGGATGAAGAAAGGGAAATGGACCAACCAGTAGTGGAAGACACTCCAATGGAAAATGTTAAAGTCTCTTTCAATGCAATCCTTTGTGATAGTGGCAGGAACATTGTTAAGTTGCAAGGAGTGTTGGAAAAAAGAAGATTTGTCATATTGGTATATAGTGGAAGCACCCATAGTTTCATCAATCCTCAATTGGTTCAATATAAAAGGGTAATGCAATTACAAGGGGTTGAGTTAAAAGTCACAATTGCTAATAGAGAAAAAAATTAAATGTGATTTGTGTTGTCCTCGATTCTAGTGGAATATGCAGGGAAATCTATTTGAATATGATGTTTATCTGCTTAAGCTTAGAAGTTGTGATATGGTTTTGGGAATGGACTAGATCCACAAACACTCTCCTATCCTTTTAGAAATGAAGCGAAACAGCATCACCATTAATCGCAAGGGGGATAGAATTAAAATTATGGGATTAAGCACTAGAAAATAGTGGCAAGAAGTGGAATCTGCATAAATGTGCAAGGTAATCTTGAATGATTGTTCTTGAGTTGTTTGAGTGTTTATATTATGGGAATAAATATTCACTCGCATTATTTTAGGTTGGAATTATGGGAGTAATTCCTTCTCATGTATGCATTCTCACACTTGTTTGAACCCAAATTAAATGTTGCACTTTAGATTGGCACTAGGAGATTAAGCACTTGAACCCCGAAAATCCCACTTTTACTCTATTGTTTTCATCAACTTGTTCACCTTGTTCCCTTTTAATTAGTTCTTCTTTTACAATCAATCAATCATCCTTTTCAATAGGATTAGCTTCTCGTGAATAAATTAGTAGCTAGTGCTTGAACGTCCCACTTTCCTGTGAATAGATAACCCGATACTCTGAGTAATTATTTGTTTGCTAAAATATACTGCAACCATAAATGTTAGTCATTTTCCCGATTTGGAGCTCCTAGTCTTGAGACTTTGGACTTGAAAAAAAAAAGTTCTGATTACTTTTGCAAATATTAAAATTTTGAAATCAATTATGTTAGAAAGTTGTTATTCTTCTTTTGTGACTTTAAATAATATTTCTGGAAACATCCAAAGAAAGAGAGATTGGGTACTTCATGTTTGTGATCTCGAAAGTTGAAACTAAGGTTGGTCTCTCTTTAATTCTCATTCACAACTCGGAATAGTTAATCTTGCGGCTTCTGATCTTTTTTTTTGAAAAAATCAATCTGTCGATTGTATTAACTGATGAAAGCTATAATAGCGTCAGGAGGGATAGAATCCCAATACATAGAATGCTCCTGAGTAAAAGCTAATGAAGCTAAAGTATGCACATGTAAATTAAACTGTCTAGGCACATAGCTTAATAAAACAAAACTAAATAAAGACATCATTGTCTTGCACTGATCAATTGCTAACCCAGCGTACGAGTGAACGGGTGTAGTTTGGTGATGTATAGCGGTTCGCAGAACCATACAATCCGTGAGCAGATCGGCTGAATTAATACTCCTTTCTACTAACCAGGACAGTGCCTCTTTAAAAGCCATAGCCTCCGCCATGAGTGGTGAGAAACAAACAGGTGATCTTCCATTCTTGGCTACCACAAACGAGCCACCGGGCTCCAATAACACAATTCCATACGTAGCCTCCCCGGTTTCCTGCCGAAACCCCGCATCTATATAGCATCTCATGTGATTGCCGGGCAACACCGGTTCGGATTGTGCCCGTAAACCATCTCTTGCCGTACGGCCGTGTATCGCACCATAAGCATTCATCAAGGTTGCCGCCCCCTTCACCACAGCCTGCGGCCGTGTCATGGCCCCTTCCCACACTGCCGAATTGCGGTTTCTCCAAATATTGTATAGAACACCAACCATCAGTTGTGTTTGTTCCTCTGTTAGAATTGACATAGCCCCGGTTAACCATTCCGCAAATGAATCTGTAATAATATTCGTGATAGGTAATTGTGTTATATTCCAAACTAATACAGAATATTCACAATAAACTAATGCATGCAACACATCTTCATTATTAAATCTGCACATAGGGCATGTCGGGTCAATCTCCACCCTCTTTTTAATTAGATTTGTGGTAGTGGGTAAAATATCACATACTGCTCTCCACAAAAAAAGTCTTCCATTTTGGTTGTACTTTCAATTTCCACATCTTAACCCATTTATCAAAATCACCTGGGTTATTCTCATAATCACCAACAATACGCCTGTAGGCGTTCTTTACTGAATAAATACCTTTTGGGTCACCTATCCAGTACCATGAGTCATCATAACCAGGGCTAACAGGAATCATAACTATTCTGCTCACATCCTCTGGGATAAATAAATTAGATAAAATATGTGGATCCCATGTTTGTGTTTGTGGGTCAATCAAATCTGCTACTCGTGCCTCTCTTAACTCCTCAGGCATAATTGTTTGTACCAAGGGACTTGGATTATCCTGGAGCCATGGGTGTCCCCAAATAAGAGTTGTCTCCCCATTTCCAATCCTGCGTCTTATCCCAGCTACCACTATTGGATGTGCTGCCATAATACTTCTCCAACAAAAACTTGGGCAATTACCAATAGTAGCATCAACAAAACTAGAAGTGGGGTAATACCTGGCTTTATATATTCTTGCCACCAGAGACTCTGGGTTTGTCAAAAAATGTCATGCTTGCTTGCCCAGCATAGCTAAGTTAAAAGCCCTCAACTCCTTGAAACCCAAACCACCAAACTTCTTGGGGATACATAACTTATCCCATGCTTTCCAGCGAATCCCCTTATCTCTGCCACTTCCCCACCAGTATCTATTCATGACCCTCTCAATGGATTGACAAACTGTTTCAGGTAACAAAAAAACACTCATTGAAAATGTTGGCATAGATTGAGCCACACTTTTCAATAAAACTTCTTTACCAGCCTGAGACAATAATTTTGTGTTCCACGATCCAATCCTCTGCCTGATTTTTTCCTCCACATAGGAAAAAACTGCTCTTTTATTTCTGCCCAAACGATGGGAGGCCCAGATATTTCTCAAAATTACTTGCTTGCACTACCTCAAGACAGTTCGCCACCTGTGTTCTGACCATGTGTTGGGTATTACGGCTAAAGCATATATTTGACTTGTTATAATTCACAACCTGTCCAGATAGTTTCTCATATCTCATCAAACATTCTTTAATAGACATGAATTGATATTATTTTCATTGCTTGATCTCATTGTAAACTACTATGTTCTTCTCTAGGTTGAATTGCCAAATAATAAAAGTAACAATGGAATTTGTTTGTTTTGTGATTTGGGAAAACTTGCGTTATGCTTTAGAGGAAGAAAAACGACAGAAAAAGTCTCTCGCCAGTTGCTTCATTTCCCTAGTGGATCCTTGTCATTTCATTTTATGAATTCATATACTGAGACCATGGTTGCAGTAGGCGCTAGGCGCTAGTTGGGCGGCCGGGAGAGCCTAGCGCCTAGGCGGTCCAGGCGGCGCCTAGGTGGAATCTAAGCGGCACTAGGCGGGCATAAAAAAAAAAATAGTTACAGACTTGTAGTTTGACAATTTTAATGAGGTTTTTTTAACATTCAATCAAATAACACATCTAAATAAATGAAATAATGATAATTTATAAGTCATAACGTCATAATAATATTAAAATCAATAATTAATGAAAGACGACATCGGTCAAAATTGAACAAAATTGATCAAAATCGGTCAAAAACGGTCAAAATCGAACGAAATCGGACGAAATCGATTGACTCGGCCGAATTTGGCCGCCTTTAGGCTAAAACGGCAAGGCTCGGTGCCGCCTAGCGCCTAGGCGGCCGAGTTTTGCAACCTTGACTGAGACTAATCTTGTTTGTGCCATCCAGATAATACCTAAAAAGATGGTAAAACACTCTATCATAAGTTTAAGACAACGGTTTCTCAGGACTCAAACTGAAAATCTCTGGTTAAATCAAAAAAGACTCACACCATCTCATACACACCTAATGAGTTGAAGCTCATTTCAATAGTGCATCAAAGTGTTTCCACTAGATCTCAACAATTCTTCATCTCTGTTGCCATATAAAGATTACATTCGTTTACTTTGATGTCTTGGCTTTAAGCTTTTTTACATTTATATATACTTCTACTATATCACTTTTAGTTGCTGTAGATAATCTATAGGTGATAGGTATACATATCTAAAGCTTTCATCACTTTCTTCTTAATTGCTTTTGGCCTTTCTTCAAGAAAAAGGAAAGAAAACAAATTAATCCGTACAATCAAAAGACAAAACTAATATTCCAAAACCTTACCACAAAGTTCAATCGTTATACCCTACATCACGGCGCGCGTAGCACTGTGCGCCACGCGCCTCCCAAAACGACGTTGTTTTGGGAGGCGCGGTAGGAAGTTACTGTGATTATGTATATTTGTTCATATAATTATGTATATTTGTTCATACAATTATGTACATTATTTATACAATTATGTACATCCGAATCAGGAAATTTTTGTGTATTATGTTAAGAGTTGATGTGTATTATGTTAAAGGTTTATGTTTATTATGTATTATGTTAGATTATGTGTATTATCTTTTAAAAAAGAGTATGTATATTTTGTTATATAATCATGTACATTCATGTATACAATTATGTGTATTCTAGTATAACATTATGTACATTTTTGAACATGGGTTTTTTTTTTTTAAAAAAAAAAAAAAATTAACTGCCAAACACTGGGCCGGGAATTTCAAAAAAAAAAAAAAAAAAAAATTGAAACGACATCGTTTGGCATCTGGGCGCACAATGCAACGCGCGCCGTGGTGCAGGATATAAATTGCCGCTTAAGGCAATTTATATCCTGCACCACAGCGCGTGTTGCACTGTGCGCCCAGATGCAAAACGACGTCGTTTCAGATTTTTTTTTTTTTAAATTTCGCTACCCAGTGTTTGGCGGTTAATTTTCCTTAAAAAAAATCGCATGTTCAAAAATGTACATAATCTTATACATGAATGTACATAATTGTATAACAAAATATACATACTGTTTTTTAAAAGATAATACACATAATCTAACATAATACATAATAAACATAACCTTTTAACATAATACACATCAACTCTTAACATAATACACATCAACTCTTAACATAATACACAAAAATTTCCTGATTCGGATGTACATAATTGTATAAAAAGAATGTACATAATTGTATAAAAAGAATGTACATAATTGTATAAAAAAATGTACATAATTGTATGAACAAATATACATAATTGTATGAACAAATATACATAATCACAGCAACTTCCTACCGCGTCTCCCAAAACGACGTCGTTTTGGAAGGCATGCGGCGCACAGTGCTACGCGCGCCGTGGTGTAGGGTATAACGATTGCCCTATAATGTACATGGGTCAAACCATATCAAAAGATTGAATTCAATCAATTACAGTCGTTATATCATAGACCGCGGTGCACATGCACCCCGGTCAAAAACGGCGCCGTTTCTTTAAGTAAAGAAACTGCCCGCCGTTACCGTTAACGGAGTCCGCTTGTTTGGTGTATTAAATACCAACTGACACTACAGTATATCTAAACCGACACTGCAGTTATATCAAAATGATACTGTAGTTGTAATGAAATGAAACCGCAATGTATATAAAATGAAACTGAATAACATTTCACATATTTGAGTGTATATTATACAATGAAGCTGTAATTATATCAAAATGATCATGTAGTTGTGTTTTAATGAAACTATAGTGTATATAAAATAAAATTAAATAACATTTTCACATATTTGAGTCTATAAATATCGAATGAAACTGTAGTTATATCAAAATGAAACTGTAGTTGTGTTGAACCGAAACTGCAGTGTATACGAAATGAAACTGAATAACAGAGTTACTTTTTGCAGAAGGGTGCGGAACGACGAAAAACGAATGCCGTTTATTTTCATTTAACAAAACGACGTCGTTTTGATGCGCGGTGCATAATCGATTATGCACCGCAGTGCACGATATAATTTGCCAATCAATTAACTAATCTAATTTATGGTCTTATAAACACATATGTTCTTTCTTTAGTCATTATTCTATGGACCATAGTCCACACATTTCTGTGAACCATAAATAAAAAGTATATTTTTAATATACTAAAAGTACATTATTTGTATACATAAAGTACATTATTTGAAAGTATATGATTTTTTATATATTATCAAATAATGTAAATTCGGTACACAAATAATATACTTTTAGTATATTAAAAATGTATATTGCATTCATGGTCCACACAACTATGTGGACCATAGTCTACACAATTATGTGGACCATGGTCCACACAATAATTTGTTTTCTTTCTTGGCAATTTATATCATGGACCAGGATCCATATAGCATTATGGACCCTAAACGAAATTGATGAGGTACAAAATTCATACTCGTAAGATATAAAATTTTATAACATAAGACACAAAAAATCACAACACAAGACACATACAAATGTTAATATTTACTTATTTTTCAAATCTAATTTAGGTAAAAAAAAATAATTGTGTTTATAGGTACAAAATTTCACTACACAAGAGTACAAGACGCATAAATTCATAACAAATCAGTAAATTATTAGCTAGGAATAAGGTTCAAATTGGCCACTGAATGTAACATGAAAATACAATTAGGCCACTGAACGAAAAAAAAAAAAGTGCAATTAGACCACTGAACACTCCAAATGTATGCAATTTCACCTGATAGCAGGTTACCATCGATTTTAGCAGGTTACCTGCTTATGTTGCAGCTGAGTTGGCATTTTTAATAATTCCTAAATAATTTTTAATAAATTTTAATAATAAATTTTTTTAAAAATCAATTTTTTAAAAAAAATTTTGTAGTATATTTTTTAATTTTTTTTAGTAAATTTTTTAATTTTTTTTAATCATTAGTAAATTTTCAAAATTTTTTTAAAAATTATTTAAAAATTATTAAAAATGCCAATTAAGCTGCCACGTAAGCAGGTAACCTGGAAAAGTTGATGGTAACCTACTATCCGGTGAAATTGCATACATTTGGAGTGTTCAGTGGGCTAATTACACTTTTTGGAGTGTTCAGTGGCCTAATTGCACTTTTTTTTCGTTCAATGGCCTAATTGCATTTTCAGGTTACGTTCAGTGGCCAATTTGAACCTTATTCCTATTAGCTATATCAACTGTAGTTGTTTCATGTTAGACTAATTAAATAAGTATATAAATGTATTTAATTTTACTTTACCTAGCTATATTTACTGAACAGAATGTTTGCTGGCACCCCCACTAAATTTGCACACACCCTATCCCATAATAAAAAGGGAGCATCGCCTGTTTAATCAAGAACCCTTGCAACCAACCTATACCTAATTATTCCTTCTTGCCATTTTTCACAACACTTAGCACAAAACAGTAAACCTTTATCTAGCTTCTGTTAGTCTTTTGTTGCATCCTGCTGATCTGCAGGAGGTATAATACCAATCTCCAGTACTCTCAATCCCTACAATTTTTGCAGGAACATAAAAATTACCAACCTGCAAAC